TTGTGATGAGGCAACAACATTAGAACATAGGTCAGAAAATAGTGTGGGCCTTTTGTATTAAGCCCTTGTCTTATGGTAGTTTCTTCAGTCCTTATTTCAAAAGCACTGATCTACAAGCGAATCCCAAGTGCAATCACTCACTACCCCTCAAACAATAATGTAACTTGTTATTTATGAAAACACGTACTGTTTCCATATTTGAGACTTTTTACATAGCATTGTGGATATGTGGTGTAGCTACTTTAGTCATAGTACCTTGGTGCAGATAAGCCTGGGTGAGTCAGAGGCGCAATGCTGTGAATCCCCGTTTTCAGATGGTCTGGGGCTAATCTCCTGGATCACCTGAAGGATGTACACACTGATGGTATCGTTTTCACAAGAAAGAGAAGAGTGTTTGAACATGAGCTCGGGGTTTGTGGATTTTACCTTGAGCCACTGCTCCGTCTGCTCTCTGCTCTGAAGACCCAGGACAATGGTCTCTCCACCCACCGGGACGATCTTCAGTCTGTGCTCCTTCCTCTTCAGCTGCTTCTCTTTGTAGACCACAGAGCAGCCCAGAAGACTCACATCCAGCAATGGGGTCTGCTCCTTCGAACTCTTATAGCACTGGAAAAGCCACCAAACTTGTTTAAATATTATAACGTATTTGTTAGTTTCCCACATGATATACATAAAAAAGAAAATTTATTCAAAAATACTTAATAGCTGATACCTCTTAAGTTAAAATTCAATGTCTGGTAACATAATACATAAGACTCAAGTAACTTTTACAAGGAGAAGTGGATAGATTGGTACAAAAAAGCTGCCATAAACTGACTGAGAAGTGAAATATTTATTTACTTGAAAAATGTCCAATATAAAATTATTTACAATTAACATTATTTACAAAACTGTGTAATTTTGACAGCTTCATCTATATTATTATTTATATATATATATAATAATATTTTATATTCTATATTTCATTTGGTTGGTTGGACTTGGGGGAAATATCTAATTGTGATTTTTCTGACTAAATCTAAAGACCAAACTGACAAACTCATACAAGAATCACATTTCGGAGCATGTTTGTACAGATCTAAACTACAAGGTTAGCTGTTTTTATGTGGAATATGATACTTTATTGTTTGTGAAGGAAATTAGGGTGCTTCAAATATCACACTTTACTATTTACTATTGTGTCCATTCAAATTGTGATTAATCTTACAGCCCTAGAAAAATCCCATTCAAATCCATTCTAAGTATAGGACTTTTAGTGCCCCATTGAGACAGGGAGCACAATAAAAAAGTGGCACACATGTTTCTTTGTCTCACCATGAGGCGGTCGTCTCTGATCACACAGAGCTGTTTGGCCCACTGTCCCAGCCACTTCTTCCTCCAGAGGAAAGCACAGATCCGAGAGTCTCTCATCAGCTCGAATGGGGCCTCGGCTGAGGGCCACTGGTGCTGAGCGGACGGACATTTGCCTTTGGTCACTTCCTCCTCATCATAGGACTCGTATGAGCTACTCACTGCCTCTCCATCATCTGGGAAATGAGATAAGGAAGCAATTCAAGTCTGAACAAAAGACCGGCAAAGATAAAACAGCATGCAGAAAAAACAGCAATGTGGAAGAGGCAGATGTGTACTGAGTCTCTATATGATGATAATGTTTCTATTTTTTCTTTATGGTTTGAACAGATGCTCAAAACAAAACAACACAATACAATTTAGATTTTATAACACAATGCATGCCAGAAAAAACAAAACAATAACACCACTATTATAATTTAAATAAATACAGCAAAAGATCATCACAAAAGCTACTATCTGCAGGTTTATTTGATATTTTTTCAACCATAGATTGTTAGATAGTTCCCCTCCACTCACCTGGCCTTTGTTCAGGCTCACCTGCCCTCTCTGGTCTTCTTCTGTGAGACCAAAGCTGACACACTATCAGACTGCAGTAACATAGATAGCATCTAGTGGTGATATGTGAGAATACAACAGGGGCGGGGCGGCCACTCTAATTACAGATGGTAGCTTTAAAGTGATTTCAAAGGTAACTAATAATTCTACTAAAATAATATTCTGTTTACCGTGGGTTTCAGAATGAAGAAAAAAATGTCCGTTAAACAATTGAATTTATATCTTTTAAATTGTGAAAAGCTCTAAAAACAGGAAGCTGAAACCCATGAACAGCCCACTCAATTATCATCCTTACGTAATAACAAATCATCCTCCACTGACAAGAGACTGAGACTGACAAACAAGAGGTTATGGAAACTCTTGAGATGTTTGTTTCTTTAAATGCACTAACACCCACTTTCACACAGAGAAACGTGCTGACTTGTCCATCCACATTTTGGCCTTGTATCCTAGGCAACAACAAGCCCAAAGCATGCACCAGTTTACACCCGTTCACACATGCTCGAAGAGAAGAGGAGGGTACCCTGGGAGATCACTGCATACACCACACTGTCCGAACTCAGGCCTCTCAACACGGACGAAGAGAGATGGGCCAGATCTGTCAAAGACCAGTCCAGCAACAAAGAGAAGGGAAGAGAAATGCAAGAGTAAAGCAAGCTGTGCACAATGGTGTTATGTAGAAATAGTTAGGCTATAAACGTTTCAAGAGGAACATCAGGCAAGATCAAAATGGGAAGGAGAAATGAAATGAAGTTGCTTTTTGAGTTGTAATTTCAGAAACAGTCAGAGTCTCTATTATAAACAAACACACACACAAAACATAATATGAAATGTTGTATTACATTAAATAGAACAGTTTTCAAGGCAGTAATACATAAAAATAGGACATAAAACAGCAAGGATAATGTTTAAGTTCTGATGTCTGGCAAATTTAATCAAATTAATACAGAACAGCCCCATACCCAATATCCAGTTCATTTTGTTGACTGTACCAACATGGAGATGCTGCAACTTCAAATTCCACAGTTAAATGGCACCATCATGCGAAATAGATCAATGCGTGTGTCTGAGGTTGAGTTTCTGATCACAACATGTTGCTTGGCCTTCTGAGCACAACCTAATTTTGTGTGTTGATTTCTTTTAGTTTATGTGTTTTTGTTTCAATCTCATTTTCAATCTCTCAACTTTTCACTTCCACTCCTGAGTAAGAGTGAACTGAGCCTTGACCAAAGGCATTAGGTGAAATGTTTTGAGCTGTTATCAGAAGTGGAAACAGGAAATAGCCTTAGTCACCTTGCTTGCTATTTCCTTGCCAACAATTAAAGAAGCCTGATACAGAAGAAATTAGAATAGCAGACAGAGCTTTATATGAGCTGTGTTTGGTCTTTAATCATCTCTTTAGTCACCACAGTGTCTAGAAGTACATCATGATTCTAGTCAGATCATACCACATTTTCTTCACATAAACACCCACATTTCCTTTATATAAACACAACCTTCACACTCGCTGGTTAGAGTGGGGTTTCTCATCTTAAGTACTTGTGCATCTCTGGGTGTGTAGGGTCAAATGTTCTTCTAACTTTCAGAAACTAAAACTTTTTTCATTGCAAGTGAACTGTTGAACTATTCAAATGTGGTTATCATAGCACTGATTTGCAAAAGTGGAAATTTTACTTTATATTGTTTTTCTCTGTTCACTTGATTAAACTGCTTTATGTAGCTTTTCTGGTAGAAGGTCACCCACGTTTTTGTCCTACCTCATAGACACAAGCAGAAGACAGCACAGAGCAAGTTAAGTCAGGTCTGTGGAGAGGTAACTACGTTTATTAAAAGAATGCATGTATTGAAGGTAGTTTTGAGCTCGGAAGTGAATAAATGCATGTTCAAGTTCAGGTTCAATGCCATACTGTGGAACATTCAGGGCCTTACTACGATGCAGGTAAAAATGAGAAAATATTTTATCTGAAGTGCCTTTCGTTTAGACAGTGAAAGTGTTTTGGAGGCTAAAAAACGCAAAAATCTGAAACCACCCTCGAGAGTGGAAAAGTTGAATACATTCCGCCGTAGCGTTTCCATCTACACTGCACATGACGCAAAACTCTGGTCAGATCTGCTCACGTCATGTACGCGTTTACATCACAATCATCACCACCTGGCGTCACCACCTCAACGCCTGGCATGCATACCCTATCGAATTCCACACACTTTTGCGTCACAGTATGCACACAGATTTCCTCCTGAAAATGCTCACTTAAATGCGAAGGAAAAATGAAGACGCGATGTCATTTTTGCGTCTTCTGTTCAGACCGAACAGACAGAACATTCTATCTGTATATATGTATGTATGTATGTATGTATGCATGTATGTGTGTATGTATGTATGTATGTCTGTATGTATGTAGTGTTTCTTTACCATTGACAGCTTCCTCATACGGCTGGGCCTCTTCATAGTAGCTCTCTGAAGTGTCAATGGCTGCAGCAGGAAGAGGAGGTAAAGGGAACGGCTCTCGGCCCATTACACCCTGAAAAACACAAAACTTATAAATCATAACATGTTCATCAAGAAATATTATGCAACACATTACAGCATTAACAACATCACCAGGGAGACAGTAGTTTAAACTTGGACTTCCTACCTACTAACAATTTGTACAAAGCAATAATAAACTAAACACCACAATGTTTGATCATAATAAGCTTGTCAGACAGACACAGTCAGATGGGCCTGTCTAGGATTGGCGCCACTATTGGTTGTACAAATATATTGAGCTCAATTTGAATTTGGAAAGTTTCAGTCACTGGATGCATTTTCAGAAGGCAAAGAGCTAAAAAACTGAGGACTAAAACTATAACTGAAAAAAACTAAATGAAAAAACAAACAAAAGTGACTGGAGTTTTCAACTAAAACTTCCCCCTTGCACTTACTGTGTAGAAAATACCACATAAAATCACACTAAAGAGTTACAGTGCATGTTTACCTCTTGGGGACTTTGTCTACTTAGAACTGGACAAAATGAGGCATGCAGTCTATTCAAAACTGTGTGTGGCCTCAAACACTTCAAAATTGAAATCAATTGAAAGTTAGTCTGTGTCCTTTGTGGTGAAGAGTTTCTGCCCACTGCCACTTCCTTGTACAGAAAACCCCAAGAGTCTACCACTTAAACCTAGATATTATATATAGGGAGATGACATAATGCATAAATATGGGTCTTTCCGTGTCAGTGAGTAAACACTTGTGTCCCGTCACCACTGTTTCACCACTATAATGTAATGTGTAATCTTCTCAACACGCAACAACAAGTCTAAAGTTATCAGGAATCACCAGGAGGCAGAACTGATGCGGGGAGATTACCCTGTCTGCAGCCCCTGTTTCTAGTGAAGTAAATATAGTGTTGTTTTACATTTCCTGAACTGTTGAAATCCTAGTTTACACCCATTTTCACATCCTAACAGGCTGTGACAATTACAGAAAAAGATGATCATGATCAAAACAGCATGACAGAAAGTTGAAAGATTTAAAATCCTTTAGAAATACCCTATTGTGACTTGAACAAAAGGGAAATAACAATATATGACAACTTTATATAATAAAATAACATAAATGAAATAATATTAAGTACTTTCTTAATGTGGTCATACATGGAAAAAAGAGATTTCGACTTCACTGGGTTTTTCTCTTGTTTAAATAAAGGCTAATAAATCAGTAAACCAATACATAACATTCAGTTTGAGACCACTCAAACTGTATTTATGAATCCTTAAAATTATGATCTTGAACTCAAAATTAGCAGAAGTGGAAACCTCAGTAGCCACTATGTCCTATGCATAAGTTGACCTGTAGTGGTCACCTACTTATCTCCATGGACATAGACAAAAAGATAGCAGAGTTAAAGGTGCACTGCGTAACATTTCTAGTCAGTCACCTGCTTGTTTCCACGGAAATGTTATTGCTTTGTCTAGAATGTTCCACAGTATAGATTAAACCTCTATCTATCACGGGGGAGACAAGGAGGTTACAGCACTACGCTACATTACAATTTAGATCTGTGGAGAATGACCCCTATTCACAGAAGGAAGTATTGTATTTCTGAGGAATAAAAAAAAGCCGTAATGAATGAAATCTAAATGTGTGCTTTATGTCATACCATGGAACATTCCAAGTAAAGCAATAACTTCTATATGGAGATGGAGACAAGTACGTGACAGACCCTCCACCAGAAAAGTTGAGCAGTGGGCAACTTTAAGATTTTTAGCACATTTACACTCAGCAAAATACTGACTAAGCATAATCACAGTTTGTTTATATTATAGTTTTCGGCGATGTCATATATCATTTTGCATCTGTGGGGAATCTCCATGGCTGATCTCATTCCCATCACATGAAATAAGAGAGTTGTCAGTTTTCCTGTAACTGGGAGCAGATGAGTCCTTCATCATAATAAGGCCCGGCGTCATGTCAGACACTGAGACTGTGTGACGCGGTGCTGTTTGTGTGATTAGAACGCATGAGTGACAATGAAAAGAGGGTGAGCACGCTGCTGAGACAGAGGAGTGAGAGAGAGATGCTATCACTGTTAACACATCATACATATGGTGTGCATTTACTCTACTGCTAATGTCTGCAAAACATCATATTAAGGCGAATTAGCACGGGCCCAATGAAGCTCTAATATTAGAAAAGTAAATCACGTATTTGAATTTTTCAGAAAGTTTTAGTTATTTATTAGTTTAGTTAGAAGATGTACAATAACTACTTTTACTACTATCAAAACTACTAGTACTTCTTCTTTGATTACCACCACCACCACCACCACACTACTACTTCTACTTCTACTTCTGCTACTGCAATAACTAGGATGCCATATATAGTTGGCAAAACTCACTCAACTCAAAGTCAAATTATGGTGAAAATCAAAGTATCTAAGTATAAGTATAAGTAAGTATAGGTATCTTAAATATACACATTTTTTTCATGCAATATACTTATGTAATTGACAGGGCTGGGAAGTAACTGAATACATGTATCGAGAATATATATTCTGAATACTAATTTTGAGTAACTGTATTCCGGCACAATTACTTTCTCATTTGTTGGTATTTCGAGTACAGTTACTTTCCTAAATTATAAGGAATGCTTGGCTGTACTTTAGCATGTAATTTTGGCTTTGAATTGCAAGTTATTAGTGAGATTAGTGAGCGTGCGTGTTTTCTTTCTCGAATTAGACATAAGTTAATTCATGAGAAAGAGGGCAACAGAAATAAAGCTATGAAATAATCCTATGTAGTATTTCTTTTACTATAAGATAATGCAACTTAAAGTAAAGGTATTCAAAGTACTCAATACATTTTAATTCAGCTATTCAGTATTCTGTGACTAAATACACTCTGAAGTATTCGTCCCAACACTGACTATTTAAATGTATCTTTGCTCTTAGAATATATTTTTAGTTCTGTCCCTTGTTTGAAGTCATCTTAGTTCAGAGAGAAGGAAGGCATGTGCTATTAATTAAAATAGAAGGTCCTGCATTCCTGAGCAGCAGCCCCCACCACATAATGTCTATCCACTGTTATCTCAATACTGTCCAGTCATTTTACACGTGTCCAAGTCAAAGCTTAGATCTCGCCTCAAAAGTATGAGAAAAACATATGCTTGATAATACATAGACAAATACATTCTCAGGTCACTGGCATGTTCTCCATTGAAACAGAGTAACCGACTTGGATCAGACAATAATAAGAAAGATGTGGGGTGAGAGACACAGAGGAGCTAGTGGGGAATCCAGGGGTGTGGCTGTAGTGGGGCTGGGGAGAAAGAGTGGGAAAAAAGACCAAAAAACGCTAAAGCCAGAAACATGGAAAATCCCTGGTTCCCATGCCAAGATTCTTCTAGCACAGTGAAGTACACACAAAGAGCAAATCTGAAAAGTGTGCTGGGAACTAAGAGGAGAAGGTACAGATACAAATAATCAGTGGTTTGGATCTGTATGGTCATCAGAACTGAGATTTATGCAATACTAGTTAGTATATAGTGCTAAAATACATAAAACTAAACACTAAAACTGAAATCTACATACTAAAACTGAAATATGTTTTTTTTTACTTTTCATTGTTTACATTCTTGGGGACAGACTTGTGTATGCTACAAAACTGCACAGTCATGCCCTAAAATTTGGTTACTTTAAGTTGATGTTTAATGTCCATTTTATGAATATTTCTCAAAAGCCACAGCAGACAAAATTAGATAAAGATAAAGATAAGGATTTAGTTGACAATAAAGTCAACAATAACTTACAAATTGCCCCCCCCCCCCAAAAAAAAACAAAAACAAACAAAAAACATTTGTAAATTAATTTTCATTTATTATTTTGTTATTTAATATATATTTTTTAATGAAAACTGACCGGCAGACATCACCTAGCCCATACTCAACTTCATTCACTGCAAGATATAGCTCTTGTCATATTGCATTTAAAGGTGCACTATGTGATTTTTCTGGAATAGGATGTACCACCTGCTTCTCTCCATTGAGATATGATTGCTTTGCCTAGAATCTTCTATAGTATGGCATTAAACCTCTCTATCTCCAAACAGAAACAAATTACAGGTCAAATCTGTGCAAACTCATTCACAGTTAGAGTGTCTGCTTTCCAATGTTTTTAGACGATATAAAACACCTGGAAATACATTTATAAGTTTAATGCCTTACTGTGAAAAATTTCAGGGAAATCAATAATATCTCCATGGAGACAAGCAGGCAGCAGACCTTCCATCAGAAAAGTTACATAGTGCCTCTTTAATTTCATCAGCTTGAGCCACTGCCTCTGTGTGTCCACAGTATGTTTCTCTGCCTGACACTTGCAAGTGGCACAGTTGCTATCAATAGCTCTGCTCTATTTTGGGACCACCATGCAGACTGGACGCAATGGGAGTCCCGCAAACCTGTATTTACCGACTGTTTTCAGGGGAAATCTGGGCTATCTGAATGACACGCTTGTCACAACTTTGTCATTTGAGAAGAAGGAATTTAAGGCATCATGGAAGGACTAGAGGCCCCGGAACCAAACCAGGATATTCACGGCGGAAGTGGGTTACTTAATCTGGAATCTGGAGAGGACCATGCAACACTGGTGAAAGTAAGGGTAGAGGAATGTTACTTTAAACTTGAACGGACAATACTAGCAAAATATAGCGACTACTTCAAAGCACTTTTTCAGTCGGGAATGGTTGAAAGCCACCAGGAAGAGCTGCACTTAAAAGGTGGAGTAAAGGCAAGGGGTTTCCTCATTGCCCTTGCTGTGTGCAGGGGTGAACTTCCAACACTTTCTGACCCTGACGAGCTAATTGACGCTGTTGAATGTGCCGCCTTTTTGCAAGTACCAAAGCTAGCTCAACATCTCTGCGACATCATTGATTCAGACAACTGCCTATTGCTGTATTACACTTCATATGTTTTTGGTTTGCATTCAGTGTCCCATAGTGCTGCAATGTTTCTTAGCGATGCTTTTGAAGACCTCAAGGATGCAGCCGAAACGCAGCTTCCGGAAAACTTACTACAATATGCCCAAACATTATCCCCAGCTACTTATATCGCATTAGGGACCCATACCCCATCAATGGAGCTTTTGAATGACTCCTTCAGGGTGGTTTGTTACCTTGATGAAAATGAACAAGAATGGAAACATCTAACTAGCCTACCAACGCTTTGCAGCACATCTATGGCAGGCGTGGCAGTACTCGACAACCGATTGTACATTGTCGGTGGAGTTTATGGTTATAAGAAGGATACAGTTGATCGCAGTTTTTGCTATGATCCCGAAACAGGATTATGGACTGAGCTACCTGGTCCGCAGCAACCTCGGTACAATTTTACCTTGTTGGGACATGAGGGGAGACTCTATGCGATAGGAGGAGAGCTTCAAGGTCGCTGTATTGCAACTGGGGAAAGTTATGACGTCAACAAAGAACAATGGAGTTTTATACAGCCCACTCCCAGGCCTGTAGGATCAGCTGCTTTTGCTGTTGTCAGACGTAGGATGTTCGTTTGCTTCTGGAAACCACCTGATACGACAGATATCTATGAGTACCTCCCAGCTAAAGATGAATGGAAACTGACCACAACGATGATAAAACCTCAAAGTTATGGTCACTGCATGGTAGCCCACAGGGACAACTTGTACGTGATACGAAACGGGCCATGTGATGATTTCTTGAGATGTCTTATGGATTGCTACAACATCACAACAGGGCAATGGACAGCAATGCCAGGGCACTACATCAACAGCAAGGGGGCGCTGTTCACTTCAATGATAAGAGGTGATTCTGTGTTCACAGTGAAACATATGCTAACACTTGAATATAAAATAACTACGCAAGGTTGGAAGCCATACAGACAAATGAAAGGATTCCCAAAAAGCGGCTCACTTTGGACATGCTTACTGAGGCTTCCCAGCACAGGACCAGTGATCCCAAAGACGGCCACACAGGGAGAGAATGGAGAAATGCCTTTGCCAGACAGATCCGAGGGATTTATGGAGGCTATGCTAGAACTGTGAAAAGACTGCAGCCAATGTAAATATATGTATGGTGCATTTTTGAATGATTACAAAGTTGTGGAATTCTGAGTTGACCTCTGTAAAGGCACTGGTCCAATTTTGCATTTGTAACAATGACAGAACCTGATCTAGCTCTGCTCTGTCTTCAGTATTTAAAATTCTCTCATTCTTCTCATCTTCTCTCAACAGTTTTATGTTCCCATCAAAATGTATTATTGTTTTGTCTTAAGGCCATCACTAACCTATCTTGAAAATATGAATGAACTGACATAAATTTGAAAAGCATTTTGTAACAGCGTTGTGTTTTCATAAAGCTACAACGCTGCACTGAATGAGCCGTATAAATCATTAAATGTTTTTCACTTTCATATTGCGCACATCTGTATCAGTGCTGACACTAGCATTGGTCCTGATGTGCTCCAGCTGTGGCAGTAGTTTATATTGGGGATCAGGGCATCCGTGGTCCTCAGAGTGCGGGGCGTAAAGTTCAAAAGCACCAACGGGATGTGCTTACCCTCTCTTTCTCTGCCATTTTCCTCAAGTTAAACAAGGGCAATGCAATGTCAAAAACTTTCTGGTCCTATCTCTGGTATTACTTTGTCCGTATTACCACTCAGACAAAGTAAAAATTTAAAAGAAACCTTCTGGAGTGTAACCTTAAAAGCAACACAACATCCGGGTCTTAATGATGATTTGGATTATTCAATGTTCCTCTGAAACTTCTTTAACGTAAATGATATTTTTGACCTGTGATATTGTATTGTATATTTATTGCACATGTGATGAACACACCTACTTACCTCCAACATGTCCTGTTATTCTTGTTGTTGTTCGGTGGGTCTGCTCATCACTTATATATTCCTCATGATCGGCCAACCTTTTTTTTGTTTTTGGTTTGTTCGTTGTCTTTTTCCAATAGTTATGTGATGTTGTCATGTGATTGATAACTGATTGCATTTAATGGCACTTGTGTGTCGTGTCTTATCACTTTGCCCTGACGAAGACCATCACGCTGGTTGAAACGCATTGGCATCCCTTCATGCAATAAAGGACTTTTAATATATTCAGTCGGAATGCCTCAGGTTTGTACATTGCCCACTTTCACATTTTCCAGTAAGGGTAACTTCCTGTTCAAAGACTATTGATTTAACCCTCGTAGAGCACCCATACTTCTATGTTTTTTAACTCTTTTATGACCCAGTGAAGCACTCTATCTCTTTTCTTCATCTAAAGTAAAATGTTATTTGCCTGAAAATGACACAACTATGAACAATGGTTTTCTGAGTAAAATCTAAAAATGCAGAGCAGCCCTAAATTAAAAGTTGCCAGGACTTAAAATCGAACTGTATTTAAACAAAAAAAAACATCACAATATGCAATGTACTCTATACATTACTGCATTAATAAATCAACTCTGAGCTTAGAAGTACCACAAGAGTACCTTTGGTCCTTAAACCACAGTTTGCGAAACACTCACCTAGTCCTTATTTCAAGGTTTGCTGTATCAAATTTGATTATAGTACTAGTATATACCTGTATCTTGGGTCTACCGGGGATATAGATTTCAAAAACCCTTCAGCAATATGAAGTTGATCTTTGTGGGAAAAGCCTGCATTGTTTTAGCATTAAGAACCTCACTGACGACATATAAGCGTAATTTAATGTAGTCTGGCATGTCCTTACTTTGACCCGTGAACCACAATTTGTCAGCTACAATTACAATCCTATTCGTCTTAAGGCAGTTTAAAGAAGTATAGTGATTTAACCAACTTTAACATGTGCTTTGTTTATTTAAATTATATAATTATTGGAGTCAGTCTCGCTTCTATCCCTGCCACACTGACCAAGGCAATGTTCAGAATATTGTCCTAAATGATTCACCATGCTCATTCAAAATCACACTGTGGGCACTCACTGTTCTGGGAGGAGGCAGCTCTGGGAGGTTTTTCTGTGGGACTGGACTGAACTTTCCAGCTTTTCCATTCTCAAGGCCATCAGCTCGGTCATCTGGGTCAGACAAGAAGGGATACAGAGGTTAAAACAATGTAGAGCTTACATGGAAAAATACATGCTATGCAAAATTTACTTTTATGGGCTTTTAAACTGTTGTATACGGATTTTCCCCATCATTACCTTACTCAGAGTGGTATCTGATTTGTGCCTATTTTATATATCTGCAGCTTACTATGGTAAATGTCACTTTGAAGAGGTGGGTCAGCATTAAAGAATCAGTTCTGCAGTTTTGAACAGGAAATCACTGGATCTGGTTTTGCTCACTGTGCATTGCGTAACTTTTCCAGTGGAGGGTCTGTCAAATGCTTTTCTTCGTGGAGATGTTATTGCTTTGTATGGAATGTTTTACAGTATGGCATTAAACCATTTTATCTTCATGGAGACCAAACCACACTAGGTTACGGGCCAGCTCTGTAGAGAGGCAACCCCACTCACAGTCAGAATGTCTGTTTTTCTAGGTATTATTTTATTTATACATTTATATTTACATATTATTATATTTTTTAGCTATAAAACCACCTGTAATTGAATAAATGTAAGGTAAAGCTGTTTAATGCCATACTGTGGAACATTCCAGGCAGAGCAATGTCATATCCATAGAAACAAGACGGTGACCATCCCCCAACCAAAAAGTAATTTATAGTAGTGTACCTTTAGATCAAGTGTAATTAGTGTCATTTTAGATCAATATAATCCATTCGCACACACAAATGAACGAATGATACACAGATTCAATATAGTGGTCAATTAAGAAAATGTAAAATAATGATCTACATATGTATGTGATTTAAGTTTGTTACTAACTACCATCAAATTATATTCTTCTATGTGAGACCAATAATGTTCTAATGTAATCTTTACTCTTCTCTTCTTTTTAACTTTTCTTCTCTACTACCACATGCATACTACTACCTTTGTACAGACTGTTCTACAACAACTACTACTAAAATAACTGCTGTATCTACTTTAGCACTACTATAATAACTACTGATTCATTTAAAGGGCCCATATTATGCAGTTACAATGTTGTTTCCTCATCAAAAATATACCTGGAGTTTTGTTTTATTTTATTCACACATGTTTATCAATTCTGTATTAGGGGTGGGCGATATCTCGATATTTTTAATACATCGAGATTTTTTTAAAACTCGATATGAATTCTGACATATCTTATATATCGATATAATGCTTATATTCAATTTTGATTTCGCCGCTTCGCTTGTTTGTCTTCTCTGTCGCCGCCCCCGCGCGCCTCCGCCTCCCTGATTTTGTTCGCTGTGTCTCATTCACTCCTCACGATCGCCGTGAACGCCGAAAGTTGCTGCCAGTGAAAAGCTTCTAGCGCCACGAAACTTTTCCACCATTTACAGACAAGGCCATCAGCAGCACATCCTCACATTCCACCAAGTCGTGTCCTTTAGTCCAAAAGAAGTTGAACCGCAAGAGCGGCACGTGGAGTGCGCTGTTTATGCAAATTAGCCATGCGCTTTTTAAGTTTGGTTTCTGTAAAACGTAAACAAGTCTGCGCAAAGCTGCAAAAATAAAATAAAATAAAATAAAAATAACATAAAATAAAATAATTAACACTATAATCTCAAACGGGCTGATGTGGCTCTATAGTCGTTATGCTGTATATCTTGTAAAGTTTAGTAATGTAAATTCTATTTATGCAGGAGATTTTAATTAATAATCTGTTGCAGTGTCACTTGTCCAAAAGTGTTTGGAAACGTTGGGTTTGATCTGCAGTGGATTGTGGGAAACCTCAGAGCTCCTTACTGCTGGATAGGAACATGGATCTGTTAAAATAAGGAACATCCTGAGCTTCTTCTGTTAAAAGAGTTCATGGTTCTGGTTCTGGTCTGGATAACAGAGTTAATGCAAAGATGAGCTTGAGTTGAGTTGAGTTGTTTTATTTATGAATGAAACAAAGGAAATATGTTTGATTTCTTTTATTTGACAGTTAAATTATTATTTATGTAATTAGGTTTTTTTATAATCTTAAATGTTCCTATATGAACTGCCTACCTCTTACACTTAAATCTTTTAAAAAAGGACCTTGTGGAATTTGGCATATTTGTTTTTGCAGTTTTCCGTTTTAGGGGGTTATTTTTTCCTGTACAGATATCGAGATATATATCGTATATCGAGATATAGCAAAATATATCGAGATATATTTTTTGATCCATATCGCCCAGCCCTATTCTGTATATTCAGGCTTCTCTAAAACTGAAAACACTCTGCTCCACCTTGTGATGCCATGTGGTAATGCAGGAAGTACTCCACTGTGTTTTTAAACTCCATGCAGCTTCACTTCAATCATTAGGAGAATTTCACCCCTGAAATCGCCAATCTCTATTGAACAAATGCAGCTGTAAAAGCAGCTGTTAACTTGAAACTATCCCTTCATGATGTCATAAGGTGACTCAGACTGTTTTGAGCTTTGGTGATGAGATGTAAAGTATTACTCAAACATGTGTGAATACACATGCTCAATACTCAAACATGTGGCCATACTGGCTTGTCAAAGCATGATCCCGTCAGATCTCAGAAGATCCACTAACCACTGGGTAAATCAGGTGCCACAGGGGGGTGCCAGTTGTAAAAACTGTTGTTGTGTCCTTAGGCAAGGCACTTCCCCCTCATTGCCTAGTGTGAAAGTGGTGTGTATGTGAGTGATCGTGGTTAGAGGAGCCGATGGCACAGATTGGCAGCCCTGCTTCCATCAGTCTGTCCCAGGGCAGCTGAGGCTACAGTAGTATCTTACCACCAACGGGTATGGAGTGAATGAATAATGCTCTGTAAAGCATCTTTGAGTGTCCAAAAAGCACTATATAAAACTGATGCATTATTATTATTATTTGAATGAAACAAAACACAACCCCAGGTATGTTTTTGATGAGGTAGCAACATTCTAAAATGGCTTAAAGCTCAAAAGAATAAATTTTGTGTACTGTAGGACCTTTAAAGAAAATATAAACAACTCATAAAAGATGTACTAGCTAAAATGATGAGACATTTACTTGGTTTAAACAAAAGCTGTGGTTTTTCTGGAGAAATATAAGGCTGACTAAAACCACATTCTTCAGGAGTGTCCAAACACAACAGAGGTCCAGAGCAGCACACAGGAAGCAGAGAGAGAGGAGGGAGCTCAGATCACAGCTGGAGGCCTTTCTCATGACGGACACCCACTCAAATCCTCTGTCCCATCTGACAGAGAGGGCCAGTGCTATAACCAGGGGCACTGCGTTTGACCTGCAATTCTGACCCCGAATACCAGTATGTTAGGGGAGTTTCACTCAATCTTAATAAAAAGGAAACTCCTCTAAAGGGAATCATGATTTCTCAATTGAATTAAATGTGTCATGGGAACTGTAGCCGGGGGTGTCTATAGAAACTAAATACGTTAACTCAATTTATATTTATGAAGTAATTTCATAAAATCTTGGTTTTTCATGTGCGAAATTTAGAGGATAAAATGTTTTTAACTTATGTCCTAATATTTATTAACAAGGAAGACTGGTGGTAATAGTTTCACAGTATTAGTAACTTCTAAAGATAATGCATCATGAAACTCACACCTTTGCTGTCGTTGACCACAACTTTGTTCATGTAGATATACTCCTCATCTCCACCTGAGTAAAACACAAGACAGAACTGGGTTAGTTGGTTCACAAATAAACTTGTCACTAAGGGTATAATCCCACTTGCACTGGTTTGGTCCAAGTTTGAACCCAGTTTAGAAATACAGACTTGAGTTGGACCTGTTCCTGTCCAGCCCAGGCCTAGACCAGTTTTACTTTCGGGTTTAGTCAAACCCAAATTCACCCAAGTCACAAAACATGTTTGAACAGGAAAGCATGTTTATTGACTGAGGGTAACTGTTTTCATTCTTGGCTTCTCTATCTCTTTCTTTAGTTTTTTTTAATTTTTATTTTTTTAAGAAAATCTTAATCTTTGAATTGTTTTAAGTAAAATTATATATTTATGGTAATAGTGCTATATTTTTGCAAGTATTTTATTTTTTTAAATTTTTGCTTTAAACAATTTGTTCAAAGGATTCTTGTTTTCTCCTCTTCCTATTATTTACTTTGACAGACTGTGTATACGTTCATGCATAGTTTCCTCTGAGGCCATTCTAATGAGAAAATCTTAGTCCTCCTACTATAAGTGCCAAACAAACTTTTATCATGTTTAGTGCAGGGCAGGATTAAAGCTGAACTCCATTCAAACAAGTGGGTCATTGTAGAGACAGACAGGCCCATTGACACCCACTCTGAGTGGGGTGGACATTCACAAGACATTAGTCAGAAACCCTCCCCTGCACAGATACTGCACTGTGTCACTAACATCTTTCAATTTATAGAAGACCATCAGATCCAAGTAAATATATAATTCAAATACTAGGGCCCACCTTTGCCCCCAAATATACACTATGGAAGAATACAGAACAGAGGGAAGATTTTGTTTATAAGAAGTTATTATTATGCCCAAAGAAAACAATAATATTAGCAAACAAAAATAAAAATGGACAGAGGCATTCATATGAAGTAATCTGTTACTGTAAAATATTTATATAAAAGTATTTTGTAAGATATAATTTCTAGAAATTTGAATGAGTGAATGCATCATATCTTAATAGTAAATATGATAAATGAGTTCCTTGTGTTTACTTCACAGTAAAAGTTTTGCAACTGTAAATAAGAAAAACTGAAGAAAAAAACAAAACAAAAAAAGGCCTATAAGCAATGCCTCCCAAATTTCACATAAATCTGTGTACATGTAGGGCACCATGTTTATTGTAATAGGATCAATGCATTTTAGAGTATCCAGAGTATCCAGGGAGGAAATCAAACTACCTCTTGAAATTATTCCTCTTTTGAAAATGATACAAAGGGGGTGTAAGCCAACAGAATAAGATGTTTTGCCTGTACAGTGGAAACAGATTTTTGGGGGGAATAGTTGAAAATGCTATTTATACATTTGCTGCTCAAAGGAAGTCAGCGTCCCCGGAGGATAAGTGCTGCTTTGGAAAAATGATACAGTTTGGAGCCAGTGGAGGAAGTTCGCAGAGTCCAGGACCTGAACATGGAAAAGATAGCGACTGCTGTTTGGGAGAGAGACAGAGGAAGTATAAACTCCACACTGGATTCTTCGAGTTATGAGTGGATGTTTAGAGAAGTGGGTCACAAATTTGGGAAAGGACTAGGCAAAATAAGACTTTCTGTTTTTGGAGATTTGCAATGTAGCAGTTCACTACATGAATCTCAAGGCAATGTGGAGTCACACTATTCACTATATGAAGGACAAATTTCCCTAAAGTACACCTTAAAGGGCCCATAATACACAGTTTTCTGATCTATGGTATAATGTTGTTTCCTCATCACAGACAGGCCTGGAGTTGTGTTTTGTTTCATTCACACATGTTTAATACATAAACCCTGCATATTTAGGTTGAGTTCTTCTATCAATCGTCAAATACAACCTTGTAATGTCATGTGATAACACAGGAAGTGCTTCACTGTGTTTTTAAACTCAATTCATTCAACTTCATTGGCATCATCATTTCAGACTTGGAATTTCCTATCTGTGCTAATCTAAAAGTAGCTAGTAGCTGTTAATTTGAAAACTGCTGCTTCATGACATCACAAGGTAGACCAGAGCATTTTGAGCTTTTGGAGATGTAGACAGAGTAAGGATTCCTCAAATACAACTCCAGCTGTGTTTTTGATGAGGTAGCAGCATTCTAACATTGCTCACAAGAGACAATTTTGTGTAATAGGGGACCTTTAATGATTTATACATATATACATATTTTATTTATATTATTTATACACATACACATATTTACACATACACATATTTTTATGTATTTATCTAACACTTTACTAGCTAAGTCAACTGAGAACACCTTCTCATTTGCAATGATGACCTGGCCAAGAGGCAGTATAAAAAGTCTGTCCAAAAATGTTTCCAAAGACCTAGTTAATGGCACTAAACCAAATAAATAATTCTAACTTTACATGATTATATTTATATAATAATCCAAAACGTAACTGGTCATTTCTGATTATAATTTAATGGGATATTTTAGTTTTGAGACTTAAATCTGCACTGGTTGACATGACCACAATCACACCATAAATCACTTGGGCCCCCCACATGTTTGACCAGTTTCATGCTGAACTTGAGAGTCAGTGAGTAAGAAAAACTAATAGGTTGACAGGATACTTAAACAGCCCATATATCATTAGCCCATGGTCCACTTGGCTTGGAAATATAAAACTAACATGCATTTGATACGAAATATTAGGGATCATTTGTGCAATAAAGTCAACATACAACTCTGGACTTCAGTGTTTTGAATTGACCTTTATTACATTACCATCTTAGTCCATTTATAAAACCACAATGGCTTTTTGATTATTTCTCTCAGACTGAACTGTCAGCTACTTCTGCTCATCCAATTGAAGAAATCATAGAGTGACCGCATACTTGCTTAGCTTGCATGGAGAAACATTAAGCTGCTGCTACAAGCTTGTGAGAACCAAAGCAAGTGTGGTTTCCACTCCAAATACAACCGTCTTTTACAATGTGCCTGCCTTGTTTGATTATGATTCCCATGGATTTTTGGGCCCGTTTGTAATATTCTGTATGTAAATGACTGGCGGTAGGCACTAAAACAGACTTGTAGACAGTGAGGAGCCACTGTGGTACTGCAGATAAGCTGATTGTGGTGATTTTTTGCTGATGTTATCTGGTTGAGAGCTTACACTGAAAGAACAAGTGCATTCATACAAGTCCAATCACTCACATCAGAACTTGGAAGTCTACTGAAACTTCCTCAAATAAAGTTTTAGGTAGCGAAGGGACATGTCTCACTTCCAGATCTGAGATAAGCAATATGAGCTAACTATACTGTTTTACTTAAAGCATGGAAACTATGACATTAGAAAAAAGACAAAATTTTTTCTAACATTTCTAAATGTAACACTTGACTTAACATAATTTTTAATGCTTTTGAAATACATTGTTTATATTTTTGTTTACCTGCAGGTATATTTAATTTGTAGATAAGATGGTGGATGATGATTGCTCTAGGTCAGAGCAAAATTCTTTATAAAGAAGCTTCAATGAATTTTAACACAAAACACATCAACATTGGTATCGGATCGATATCACAATTTTTGCCAAAGTGTTACCTGGTATGGGATTGAAACAAAATCACTGTTATTGCTCATCAGTACCACTGACCCATCACCACCTCCAGTGGTACAACTCTATCCACCCAGTCACCTGAGTACCTGTGCCACCGGTTTTTGAGCATCACTGCTCTAATAGCCTTCAGTTGTCTCTGTCTTCTTTCCATTCTAATGTACAGTGTGAGTGTAGTGTCCATACCAGCTGGTCTTCTGTAGGTCTGCAGCAAGTCGGACAGCAGGCTCTTTTGCACTGTGGCGTTCCCACTCAGGTTCTCTTTGTCCAGGATCAGCAGGAAGCGATGCAGCTCCAGCAGGAGCTGGTCCAGCACTGAGGAGGAAACAAGACAACTCTTAGGAAAGATTATGTACAAAGTAGACTTCTGTAAACTTTTTGTAAAAAGACAAGTTTACTTTTTTAAAATTATGAATGAACATGTTTGATAGAGCACACCTCCCCATTATGCGTTCTTCAAAGTAACTTTATGTTTCTTGGTTTGTTTTCCCATAACCCAACCAATCGACCAGTTTCAAAATTATGACAATTTATGACTGTTGCCATATTAATTAACAAATCAACACTAAATATTGTGGATTTTGAATGGTAAGTTGTCTACAAAATGGCATCATAGAGTCTAACAGGAAGCTGAAATCCATTATTATTCTAACAGACCAACTAACTACAACATGCTACATATTGGGAAGAGAGAATGATCCCACGCAAAGGCACGTCAAGGCCTCTCTTTGTTGATGGATGTGGAGCCAGGGGAGCTCTTACAAGAAAGCAAAATGTTTTAAACTTTTTGAGGGCGACGACATAATAGTTGATATTCAAATTTATAGCTGAAGTTTACCGCAAGGACAATCCTCTTTTGAAGACTTCCGCTGTGAGTGTTAACCATTCTCACTGCTCAACTTTAGTGCTTGGAGCTGTGTTGTGCGTGCCAATATTTTACATGGGAGACAGCCTCCTCAGAGCATTTTCTACTGGCAGGAGTTCACAACCATTCAAACTTTATAACAGGCAGTCGTAGCTCTTTGGCACTTGTCTGTTTAGTGTGAGGTTGTTTTGGGGGACAGATCTGGTTTAGCCAAAGGTCAAGGCCTGAGAGGTGGAGTGGGAGGAGCCAGAGAGGGAGACGGCGGGGGAGAGGGAGGTCACGGTGTCTGAGAGCTCGGCCCCCACACATCCTTTAGGGGTCAGCGCTGAGCTCGTGTGTGTATGGGTAGTCTTTGTGTCTGAGTGCTGTGAATGGCCCCTGCAAAAGTGGGCCTCAATGTAATAGATGGACAACATGGAGGAGATGCACAAGAGGGACTTTGTCAACACAGAAAGACTGAGCGATGAGGGACAGCACGAAGAGTTTGTTATGAATTCTGTAGAGATAATTTTAGAAATTTTCCAATAACAACATTTTTTGTAGGGCTTTTCCACATGGTTGGTTTGTTGTTTGAGTAATCAAAAGTAAACAGGATGAAAATGAACTGTGCCAAATTTTCAGAAAAAAGTAACTGGCACCAAGTGAAAGGGCAAAAGGTGCACTGTGTAACTTTCCTAGAGTGGGGTTTACTACCTGCTAACCTGATTCATCGGTTTCACGTTGTAGAAACCATCTGATCTTGATGGCGGGTACTTTTTAAAATTTAACCAGTCGCTGCTATTTGGTCATGACATACGTAATGCGCCGCTAACAGGGCTAACTGGTATATTAAGCTTTTCCCAAATCCCGTAGGAAGAAGGGCAATAACATCTTTCCCTTTGATAAAATTCAATTGACATTCTCTTTGTTCCGGTTTTAAATCCTCGATCTTGGGAATCGTTTCCAACACAGAATGTATGGCTCTTCCCTGATTGGCTGGTGCCCGAACTCGCACTTCCGGGTTTTTGCGAATCGTCTAGTGTATTCTGATTCCTGACCTAGTCGCCAGAAAGAAATGAAATTGAGCACCAGCTTGGCTAACTACATGCTGCTCACCATGGAGATGATATTGCTGCTGAAAAGAGTCACCTCTCCACAGATCTGACTTACTGAGTACTTGGAAATGAAGATATGTTTAAAGCTATATTGTGGAACTTTCCAAGCAAAGCAGTAAAATCTGGACAGTCCACTAGATCTGTAGATAGTTACATACTAATACTTTAAACTAATTTAGCTATGAACCAAAAGATTCCAACCAGCCATAAAAAGTACAAAGAAATAATTTAAGGGAGTGTGACGTCAACCATAGCGTTCAGCTCCAGTCAAATGAAGCTCATCGAGGCTCGCAGTTAAAGGAGCAATCTGGAGTGTGGCTGCTGATATATATCTTGATTTACAGACAAAATAATAAAAACAACAGGCTCACCAGAGCAGGTTAATACATACATTTTAAGACCAAATTCTATAAAACTGACACCTTTTGTTGGCCTTATCTCGAAACATTTCTAGCTCAGGCTATTTATCTCTACTCATTTTCTCACTTCAAAGACCTCACTGCTTGATGCAGCACGGTAAGTGTGAGATCCTGGTTTGCTTCCCTTTTCACTAAATGACGTAAGTTTTCCCCCAAAGCGGTATCAAGCTGTGGTGTTTTTCAAAAGGACTCCTACTCAAGCTGAGTCAACTTCTACTGGGCGGTACCACTACATGACACATATAGGTCTAGTAATTAAAAACACCTTCAATAATACTTCTCCAGAGCTACAGATTAAACCCCCATATTGTTTTGTTACTCATGTTTAGGCCGTGAGTGCGAATCTAAACATTTTTCCAGCTTTTCCTCCTCCTGTGTTTGCAGAGATTGACTCAGATGGCCTTTTGGAGGAGAGGACCATGGGAAACGGAGTCAGCTGACTGCGGTCTACAGCAGGGCCACAGTCTCCATAGCGACGTGCCTGGACCAGTGCCCACTGCACATCCAGACTGACCACAGCTTAACCCATACAGGAACCATTACATTCAACAGAACCAGGCCACTACACAGGTTTAAGAGTCACAACAGTAGGAGTAGTAACAGTAAAATGAGTGTTGAATTTGAATTATTATTATTAAATGTGCTGACTGTTTGTATTTTTTAGTTTTGCGTTGCATTGCTCTTTCAAGATACTAAGGGGATAAACAATTTCTAATAGAAAAGTAGCTTTTTCAATCACACTATATTTATAATATATAACTGTATTACATTAAAAAAAATTGCAAAAGAGTCAAACGGCGAAATTTTTTTAACAGGCTTCTCCAGATTAGTAGCATATACAACAGTTAATGATACACGGTATAGTTAGCAGCAGTGAGAGTTTTATTTTAGTTATTTTTATTTTTTTGAGAAAGCTACAGCACTTCTCTTAAGGTTGAACCAAGATAAAAGTGTTAGTTTAAAAAAAGTTAACAATACAAGAAATTTACCCCTGTGCATTATGTTCCATTTCTTCTCTGTTTGTGATATGCTATAAGTTTATCAGTTATATCAATCTTGCATTTAAATTGTAACTGGTCACAAAAGAACTTGACCCACATGGATTTTTGGGGGCCGGTATAAAGCCTGGGAAAGCTGATATGGCTGATAAGAATAGTGTTTAATGCACCTCAATTTTCAGCTATCACAAAGATTGCATATCCAAAAACATATTTAATATATCCAGTGTAAATATATTATTAGATACTGTATGTCACAGTGTTCAACACTGACCTACAGTTACAGCTGCTGTATGGGCAAGGCTGTGTTAAATATTCATTTTAGCACAGTCAATCTGGTTAAACCATGGAATAATCAAAATATGAAGCTTTCAAAGTAGTTATAACATAGCGTGATACCAGTCCTATTCTTTACTTTTTATTCTAGATGTTGCGTATGTGTAGCAGACCCCTGGTATGCTTATAGATATTCAAAGTACTCCTTCATCTCCAAATGTCTGTTTATGCTCCAGGATAAGGTCGGTTCCCATGATGCAATGATATTTGTTTATACTCTTTTATGTCTATGGTTTTGATCCATGTTGGAAAAAGTTAATATAGAGTTCACAAAGAAAACAGATAAAAGTTTACAGAATTATAATTTATATTCTAGTGATGCAATAATAGCGAGTGCAATGCAATGGCTGGTCTTCAGGCCTGTCTGAGGTCTGCTCAGGACTTCCTCTCTTCTCTGAATCATGTGATATTTTCGGATGCACCACAGATGTGCTCCCATGCTTTCTTTAGCTGCCACTGCCACATCCACCCCTCTATAACAAATGAGACTGTTAAGTTATCCCTTTTTCTGTTGTACATCTGCATGGTTTAACTTTTTTTTTTTTAATCCTTCAGTCATCCAGGTAGGGTCTACTGCATATTAATGCCATACTGTGGAACATTCCAGGCATATCACTAATTGCATGAAGACAAGCACATAACAGATCCTCCCATAGAAAAGTTACACCGTTAAAATGCATCACTTCAGAGATTTCTATTAATTCACCTCCTTTATTTAGTAGAGATGTTAGTTTATTTGTGGAACAAAAAAGAAAGTGAAACTACATTTAATACCACAACAAACAAGAGACAAAGTACTCTTTCAAAAATTCCAGCAATTGTACGTTGAGTGTGCCATATAATACTTCATTTCACATGCATTTGTAAATGTTCTATTGCACAAGATTTAGTGCATCCTTATATTCTTGCACCCGTATTTTGTTTGGACAAAGTCCTAAAGTTACAATAACAGTGAAAAGTGGGAAACCTCGATAGTGACCAATGTGGACATGCATCTGTCTGCCTGAAGCCACACTTTCTCTTGGCATTTTTCTGACTTACAATGACTCCAGGCTGTTTACTACCAAGGCCAGCCTTACAACAACACACTATACTGTATACGGTAACAGCAACAGCAGCAACTGGCCCCAAGTCTTGACCTTCACATATATGGACAAATGTTCCAGTCCATTACCTTGTACTTCCCATAATGTTCTATAAACTCCACAATTAGCGACATAAATCTTGCAAATAATAAACACCACACATTTGAGGTAATTACGCCATATGGAAATGGGGATACAACAACAACAATGCCGAGCCTGCACTTTTGTGAACAAATCACTACTGCAAGGAATTTTCCCATTTGTAAAGATTAAGTAATGACACAATGTTAAATGAGCTATAGCACTAACTGCATTCTTCGCTCTTCCGCTCATAAAACTGCTTTTGCAACACAAAGAGCAATTTATAAATCACAGCCTTCTAGTCATAACATTTATTAAGATTTACTTATGGGCAAATTTTATATGGCAGGAGAGACAGGAGAGATGTAAGTACAAATATTTTTTCTAAGAGTATTGAAGTATCGTACTGCACTGTAACAAAAAATATGAATAGGATA